GCGTCTTTTTTTTTTTTTTACATTGAGGGATTCATGTTATAATGGGTGGGGAAGAAAGTGAGAGATGCTGACTACTGGCCATATATTTTGTAAGTTGACCTGTTTCTTGGGCCAGGACTTTGTGTGTGTGCGTGGCAGTAAAGAGTACCAGTACTCCCCCCTCTTTTTGCTGCCTATTTTGTGCTGGCACCTATGACACTTCTGTCAATATATGACTACAAACACCTCATTGTTGTTATTATTTTGGTTAAAAAAAACCCCACATTGGCTCTGGCTTTGTCATCTGCTGTCCAAGCAATGGTGTCAGATTGAAAGGAAATCAACACAGGTGTGGGATCCTGGGACAATCAGGATTCACCTTTGCATAGAAGAGCCTTACGCACATACATCTCATTCAGACCGATGCAAAAGCCACAGCTAACAGACTGGTGGCTATAACTAGAAGGTGCAATCTCATACTCCATTCGCATGTTTCTGAAGATGGGAGATGGGACTTGTTGGCGTTGCCTGAACCTGAACATTCTGTGTTCCAACTGGTGAACCTGCTTGATTATTTTGACTGGGATAAATGTCAAGTTTCCTGTTCCAGTAGCCAATGGTTCCTTAATCTCAAATGTGGAAATCATCATCTGCAGTAGGTCTTATTATAAGAGAGTTGTTATAGAAAGGTATGAGGCTCAGGTGGATGCAGCCAATGCTGTGTGGAAGGTGACAGCTTATCCTGCCGCAACAAATGTTATGTCATTCCATCATGATCAATCATCATTCCATCATGATCAATATTTCGTATCTAAGCAAAGGCTTGTATCGGAGTTGTGGGGTTCTGGGAATGACAATAAATTCTGCAAATGCATACGTTCGGTGAAGTATTCTGATTTTTATTAAAGCTCTAACACACTTGTTGCACTGTGACTCATCCTGGTTTCTTGTGCTGCACCGGTTAACCTGTCATGGTACTGTGATCAGTGGCTTAGAGAACCTCCTGGATTTCCCAAATAGGTTTTAACTGAAGTGGCTTTGGCAGCGTATTCATTTCCTGCGGGTGTTCATTTCCTGCAGCACAAAGACCAACTATGTATCTGACATGCAAGGGCAGTTCCTTGAGGCTGCAGTTATAATGGCATTCTAAACAGTCTCGCTGAGCAAATAAATCTTTCTCTTTGCCTGAGATGTATGTGGCATGCCATCTATTAATGTGGGTTTCCTGCGTTTTGATCTCCTCAGCATGCAACAGCTCAGACAAAAGCAAATCATCTGATCATGTTTCGTACTATTTCATGCTTATTTCCCTGGTTTCTGTTTTATTTCTTCCAGTCCAGCCATCCATAGCAACCTAACCTCCATAAACACATCTTTGTGTACCTTGATAAGACAGCAACTTTTTGGCTTACAATCACAGGGCACATTCTACAGTAGGTGCTCCTTCCCCTGCCTCCCAGCTCTGCAGGGTTCCTGGGAGAATGCCATGACTGACCATTTCAGATTCATAGTGTAGATAGTAAGTCCCTTGAAGGATTATCTAAGGACCAGTGTGCACATGCAGCAGAATAAGGTGGTGCGGCTCAGCTTTCTACTTGCAGAACTTAAAAATAAATAAATCAGGAATAGTCCGTTCACAAAATATGAGGCTCAAGCTGCTAGCTGAACTGGTACAATGGGAGGGGGGTGTCTACTGCTTTGGGAGGAACTTTGGTTTAGGAAAGTCACAAAAAGCTGCATAAAAAACGAGAAAAACCACTGAAAAGCCAGTGTAAAGAAGAGCATCAGAGAGAACAAAACTCACCATCCACTAAAAGCCTGGGCCAGGCTGGGGACTGGGAAGGAATATAACCTGGCTTCTACAAAATAAAGGTGATGCAGAAATATATATATATGTCTGGAAAGGAATGTCCTAATCAAGGCATCACTGGTGGTTTGAGTAATTTGATCTTGGTGGTTTCTGATTTGCACTTACTTGATTTGCAGTTCCCACAGTAATGTGCAGTCCATTATCCTTATCAGATTTTGCTCTTCTCCAGATTTTGGTATGCTGTTCTCAGCTTGTAAAAGTGCCAAAATGCATTTAGAAATGCATATTTAGGGATAAAATACAGTAAACAAATATTATTTAAATGCAATTTTGGGGGGATTTTTTAAAAAAAATATTGTAATTTTAATATGGAATTGAGATTGAACAAACTTATGAATGAACACATGTGAAAGTAACATAGACTAGTCTGTCCATCCCTTGGCACTGCTATAGGGAAGGTCCCTATTCCTCAGCACATTACCTACCAGTGAAGGCAGGTTCAAAAGGGTGATATTAAATAATGGACATATTTACAATATTAATCCATAGCTGAAGACACACAGCAAGAGACAAAGTCAAGAACCTGCAAGGCAGAAACTCTAGGACATTTTGAGAGTCCATCACAGCTATCTTTTTTGGCATGAATGTGTACGAACCTTGGAGCACTATCTTGAGCTAATCTCCTGTGGTTCCCCACCCCTATACCCCTTTGTGTGTGGTTAACACATTGACTAAGCTTCAGAATGAAAGATGAACCACTAGCTTTGTTACCAAGGTTTTGGCTCTCTGCCACCAGTCAAGGCTAGGCACAATAACCTTCACTTCAATTAAATAAAAGTTAGATGGATAGTCATTACCTTCTCATTCTTCTTTCATCACTGCCACCCTAATCACAGAAGCTCAAAAACTGGAATTATAAAATTGCGGGGCTCGTGGTGATTTGAAGGTCATCCAAGTTAAGTGGTGTTGGGTGTGTGCTTTACCCTGGTATGACTCAAACATGCATGACATCCTGTAGGCCCGTGTTCCTCAGACTGGCCACCTCCAGATCACAATTCTAATCATTCCTGACCATGGGAATTGCAGTCTGGTAGCATCTGGAAGGCACCAGGCTGGGGAAGGTAGTTGCTGGCGAAGATGAAAAATCTCAAGGCCACCGGCTTATCTTACTTATGGTACTTAAGCAATTGAGGTGACACCAACAGTGACTCCAACAGGGATGCCAGAGCTATTGGTGTCACTACCTACAGGAAATGTTGCCAGGGTGGAAGAGGGAGAAGTGAGGCGAATATTAAAGGAGGTAAACACGAGGAAGGCTATGGGCCTGGATGGGGTGGCTGGCAGGGTGCTAAGAGATTGTTCGGACCAACTGGCAGGAATCTTTACAAAGATTTTTAACCAGTCTCTGGCCCAAGCCACTGTTCCACCCTGTCTGAAATCCGCTACCATTATACCCCTGCCAAAAACATCAAAGATAGACATCCTGAATGATTTTCGCCCTGTGGCGTTGACACCCATTATAATGAAATGTTTCGAAAACTGGTGAGGAAGCGTATCTTATCTTGTCTGCCAGTGGGACTTGACCCTTACCAGTTTGCGTACAAGGCAAAGAGATCCACAGAGGATGCTGTGGCAATGGCTTTACATGCTGTCCTGACTCATTTGGAGAAGCAAGGGAACTACGCGAGACTGTTATTTGTAGACTTTAGTTCTGCATTTAACACTATTCTTCCGCATAGATTGGTGCCCAAATTATTAGACCTGGGACTTCCACCATGTTTGTGCAGGTGGATATTAGACTTTCTATCAAACCGTTCCCAAAGGGTCAGGTTGGGTTCCCATGTCTCTGCGGATCTCATCATGAATACGGGGATGCCGCAGGGGTGCGTGTTGAGCCCGCTTTTATATATGCTCTATACAGCTGACTGTAATAGGGACGCGGGTGGCGCTGTGGGTAAAAGCCTCAGCGCCTAGTGCTTGCCGATCGAAAGGTCGGCGGTTCCAATCCCCGCGGCGGGGTGCGCTCCCGCTGCTCGGTCCCAGCGCCAGCCAACCTAGCAGTTCGAAAGCACCCCCGGGTGCAAGTAGATAAATAGGGACGGCTTACTGGCGGGAAGGTAAACGGCGTTTCCGTGTGTGGCTCTGGCTCGCCAGATGCAGCTTTGTCACGCTGGCCACGTGACCCGGAAGTGTCTCTGGACAGCGCTGGCCCCCGGCCTCTTGAGTGAGATGGGCGCACAACCCCAGAGTCTGTCAAGACTGGCCCGTACGGGCAGGGGTACCTTTACCTTTTTACAGCTGACTGTGCCCCCAAATACCCCAGTAATAAGATCATTAAGTTCGCAGATGATACAACGGTGGTTGGTTTAATTACTACTGGAGAGGGGGAGGCGGCCTATAGAAAGGAAGTTGAGCAGTTGGGGAAGTTGAGCAGGAAAAACAACTTACTCCTTAACTTAAAGAAAACAAAAGAGATCACTGTGGACTTTAGGAAATGTAAATTGAATATTCAGCCACTTATTATTGAGGGGAAGTGCGTGGAACAGGTCTCGGTGTTTCGATTTCTGGGAATGGAGTTGAGAGACGACCTAACCTGGGGAGAGAACAGCAAAGACCTGGTGAAGAGAGCACAGCAGAGGTTATATTTTCTGAGAATCCTCCAGAAGAACAATCTCTCAAAGGACCTGTTGATGGCATTTTACCATTGCACTGTGGAGAGCGTACTAACTTATGGTCTGTGTGTGTGGTTTGGGAGCTGCACGGCCAGGGGAAAAACAATGCTATCCAGGGTTGTAAAGACTGCAGAGAGAATTATTGAGTGTACTCTTCCCACCTTAGATCAAATCTTTGCTGCCAGGTGCCATAAGAAAGCGGCAGAGATAGCACTTGATAGTACGCACCCCGGAAATGATCTATTTCAGCTTCTGCCTTCTGGAAGAAGGTATAGAGTTATAAAGGCCAGGACTAGCCGTCTGAGAAACAGTTTCTATGCTAATGCAATTCTGGTTCTAAACGCAGCATAGTGTATTTTAAAATGGGGTTTTAGAGTTTTTAGGGGGTTTTGAATGTTTTATGTAGTTTTTATGTAGTTTTGTGGTAGTTTTGTGGTAGTTTTATGTAGTTTTTCAATTTCATTGTTCCGCAAGGGACAATGACAATAAAGATATCGTTATCGTTCATAAAAGATCATTGCACTCCGTGTCTTTCACAGGACTGGCCCGCCCATGAGGCAAGTTGAGGCAGCGGGATCCACAGGGGCAGCAGACCCCGATGTACATCTTTATTCACCTGATGACTATCTTCCCTCACCCCTTTCCCCTGGTGGAGAGTGGGGTGCCATTTTGTGGTTTGCCTCAGATGCCTAAATGTCTTGGACCGGCCCTGCTCTTTCATATGAGTTGATTTTCACATTCATTCCTGTATGGAAAGCTATGAATCACATCATTGCATTTTATATATATATATTGAATAGTAAATTGTGTGTGCTGTCAGGGCAATGCCCTCGGTGTTCCAGAGTTTTTACCATGGCTCTGGACCCTACAGTTCTTTTAGCGTGCTACTTCCACCCTTAACAGACAAGCAGAAGCCATGCCTTGCATGTCTTTGTGTTGATTTTCTCCTGCCTGTAAATACCAATCCTCCGTGCTTCTCCCTCCCCCCACAAAGAAACATGAATACTGTTTTTGTTGCCTTTTGTAGCTTGATTTCTGTAACTGGATCTTGCTCTCTGGAGTCTCTATTATGCCTGCTGCTAAACTGCTCCTTTGATGGGAGAGGCTTCTAGTTACCAAATTCCCCAAAACCTTCACTGAGATGTGAACATCTATATATATATATAGGCCTCCCAGCTTTATTTTGGAAGGCAGGCTGTTAAAGATGTTACACTGGCTCTGCCTTCTGCCGCTGCAACATTTCTCGACATCCCTGGAAAGTTACCAAATACTCTCGTGCTAACAGACAACAAAGAGATGCAGGTAGCTGAGCAAAAGAGGGAGCAGGTATAGAGCCCAGCAACAGCAGGCAACAGAAACCTATTGGTTTTGAGATGAAAACCATATATGTAAGTAGCAGTAATGTTGAGAACCTATTTTAAAAAAATGCTTTGTGGCAGCAAAGGTTGGCACTGCTGTCGAAAGAAGATACAGGGGGAAAGAAGCTTCTCAGTCTAAGAAGTTTGGATAGATGATTATAAGCCACCAAGTTAGACTGGGGTACACAGAAGAGGAATGTGTTCATATTTCCAAAGCCGACTCTGAGAATTCATGTCAGAGGCAGTATAATGAAATCAGATTAGCCTACTCTCTTGCCTTGCCTTTTTAATGCGATGAGGAGATAAACAAGCATGGAGTACTCATCCTGAGTGAATCAGAGGGGGTCCTCTGCTACCTCTTGATTGTTAACAGGTGGCATTGGGCAGGTAAGATCCTTGGAGGGAATTGCTTTCAGTTTAAGTGCTTCTAACGCGAGCCTCTCAGCACAAGCTTTCCATTTCTAAAATTCCATCGCCCTCCTTAACTCGGCTTCTTCATGGTCCGCTCCATCACTAGGTCATGCATCAGTGTGCTTTGTGTGAAAACGACTTCACTGCCAGCCACCTGCCATGTAAACCTGTGCCTATGGTTGCAAATGATCTCTCTCACCTTTTGGAAGTGCATCTTTTACTTGATGAATAATTCATACATACTTGAAATGCAACATTCAGCTCCTTTGCAGATGTTCTGAGCTTGAATTGTAGAACTGTTTTGAGTTTCAAAGGCAGGTTTGTCTCGAAACTAGCTACACGGTTTTACTCGAAACGTTCACATTCTTTACCTCTCACTGTCTACCAGCTCTTCATATATGCTTTGCAGAATTTTGAGCTGCGTGACAGCCCCGGATATAGGCTGCTGAGCCTGGCTTGATGACCTGTCCTATTTATCTCTTTATCTTTATCTCTTTATCTCTTTTATTATAAATCCATTTAGTACAGTAACTGCCTTTTCATTCTGACGACTTTTAGCATTTGCTGAAAACAACTGTTTTAATACCATATACTTTTTGCATGCATTGATTAACTATTTGGTAGAACTGAAAGCATTTAGGAATTGATAAATATGTAACAGCCAGACAATAAAAGGGCTCATTTGAAGAAGAAACTAATGTCAATTATGATATAATTTCACTCCATTCCATTTATAGTTTTCTACCCCCCACCTTCACCACTATGTTGCCAATGAGAAAGCTCAGCCTCATTGAGCTATTTTTAGGGGATTGCGGCATAGGATTTTGTACCTAAAGTTTTAATGTGAGATTCTGCAAACCCTTGGGTTACCCTAAGTGTGCTGACACCCTGGTTTTCTTTCTCAGTGGTCTCATTTTGACTGCAATCCTGTTTGGCACCTCTCAGGTGTGCGCCATTGCCATTATAAGAGAACAAAGAAGGCGTTCATGGTGAGTTCCGGCACCTTTTTTCCTAGGAAAATAGAGCTGGGTGTAGGTGTTAAGTGGCACCTGTAAAAGTTCCAATTCTGCCTATCGAAGTGGTCAAGTGGACACATCTAATGGGGTAAGGCGATCTCATAGGCATATTGGCCCCAACTTGTTAATGGCTTTATCTACTAATAGCAACACCTTGAACTCAGCCCAGTTGCAAATCGACAGCCAGTTCAGACCTCTGAGCGCATTGCATGGGGTTGCAGTGTGAGTTTGCTGTTTGGAATGCATGGTTCTCTTAGGCTAGGTGGCACTGGTAGCATTCAACAGGCACCACTAGACAAATATGGTTTAGAGTTCTTGGAATTTTCATAAACTTGCAGCAGATGACTGGTTCACAGTTCTCTCTGCTTCTGCTGCTTGCTGTCGTTGTTTCTGGTGGAATTGTAGAAGAATGGGGGTTAAGCACTGTGTGCGTGGCAAGTTTGTGCCACATTTGAGATGAAAGAGGGAAGACAGAAAGCAGCAAACCTGGATATAATTTAAATATAAATGAGTGTTTATCCTGCCTTAGTGTTTAGAGGCACAATTATGTCAACAAATAGTGCTGGGTGGTGTGTCATTTTGGGAAACCAGCACAGCTGCAACCCTCTGCAATGTCTATAATTTGACATAATTAAGCCAGCCTCAGCTTAATTAGTTCAGTGTCCCCGGTATTCTAAATATTGCATTATTATTATTATTATTCCCCCCCCCAGGCAATTTCTTTTCTAACTTGGAAACTTTCTCTCTCCCTGCTCCTGCCCTCAAAAGTTTCCCTAATGCTAGCAGAGAGACTTAGAAATGACTGGAGAACAGTGCTGCAGTCACTGTGCCTCTGGATGGCTGCCACAGTGAGTGAACAAAGCCCAGGATTTCTCAGGGAATGCAGGCACTGATACCTTTATCATTTCTGTTGGACCTATTAACACGAGAATGCAGGCGTCTCGTTTTCTGTCAGGTGTGCACAAAGACTGTTTGTTGTTGGAGGGGCTGAGCTAGAAACTTGGCCCGGCTTTGCTAACTTCCAGGGACCAGAAGAAGAAATCTGCCATCTCATTACGGTTGACCCAGTTCCTACCTTTCCTTGTAATAATGTTACAGTAGTGTTTAGAGATTTTATGCAAACATACTCTTAAAGCGCTGTCAAGAGAACTCTGGGTTAAGTGGTGACAGGTGCTATTGCATGTATGGGTTGCTAGCATGTCCCCTTCCCCCTTCCCCCCCTTCCATTCCCTTATTCAGCATGAGCCCATTAATGCAGCATTTTCAAATAAACTGTTTATATATAAGGGGAGAGAGGAGAGATTCTATTGACTTCTCAGGCTTCTATCCTGCTCCAGGGAACCAAATGAACGTGACATGTGCTGCCAGAGACATGTAGAACAGGTGATCTGGGTGAACCTTAATGTTGGTGACCAGATCTCATAGCCTCCAACATTTCTCCAATGAAAATAGAGACATCCTATTCAATAATAACAACAATAATAAATTTTATTATTTATACCCCACCCATCTGACTGGCTGTCCCAGCTACTCTGGGCAGCTTCCAACATATATAGAAACATAATAAAACATTAAATGTTAAACAGCTCACATAACGCCAACATCTCTGTTGAAAATAGGAACATCCCACCATACCCTCCAACATTTCCCCAATGAAATAGGGACCTCCTAAGGAAAAGCGGGGCATTCTGGGATCAAATCAGAAACCGGGACAGCTTCTGTAAATCTGAGACTGTCCCTGGAAAATAGGGACACTTGGAGGGTCTGAGATGCTCAGTCCCAGAATGCATTCCTCTCTTTGCCGAACATCAGCCATGACAGAGATAGAAATGCTGCAGGTAATTACCCAATACTGAATTCACCTCTAATACTGCAAGCCAACTGGCTGATTGCTGAACATTTGACCAAGAGTCTGCTGTGTGGAACACAGACCCAAGGAAAGCAGCTATTAAGGTGTTCTGGAAGTCTGGAAATACAACATAAGAAACCTGGAAATTAAGGGGAAATCGAAGATTAATGGGACCTAAGCAGCCATTAGTCCCCAGTTGAAAATAAAGCAGTGGCCAGTGTGTGAGAGTGGCAGGGTATATACTGTATTTTTCGCTCTATAAGACGCACCAGACCACAAGAGTTTTTGGAGGAGGAAAACAAGAAAAATATATTCTGAATCTCAGAAGCCAGAACAACAAGAGGGATCGCTGTGCAGTGAAAGCAGCAATCACTCTTGCTGTTCTGGCTTCTGGTATAGCTGCGCAGCCTGCATTTGCTCCATAAGATGCAGACACATTCCCCCTTACTTTTTAGGAGGGAAAAAGTGAGTCTTATAGAGCAAAAAATACGGTACTTTATTCACCCTGGGATTCTTTAAAGGCTGTATTAAAGTGTATCACTGGTCTGGCACATAGCAAGTGCTGTCATGTGGAGAAAGAAAGAGTTGGGCCTCTTGGGGAATTGTAGAATAATGAGGAATTGTGCCCCAGTCGTACAACATGGCCATTGCTGCTTGGCTGTTTCCTAGCAGGGGTGGAATTTGTCAAGATAGCAAAGCCCTCGAAACTTGTGTTCAGCATTTTTCAGAGCAAAGTACTACACTCTTAAGTGGACCATCCTGCCAGCAGGCATGCCTTTGTCAATAAAGATAGGACTAAAAACACACACTGTTGAGTTTTCTATTATCTAGCAAACCCTGAAACACCATGTGGACCTTTTCTTTTTTTAATGCTCCCTGTTAGGCAAACCTTTCAGAATAGTGTTTCAAGAGGAGGTTTCAGAAGGAGCACAGGGAAATATGAGGCAGTTGATTAAAATAAAAAGGATCACTCTTGCATATAACTTAAAAAAATTAAGGCATTGGGCAAACTTCCAACTAATTATTTATTACTAGAGATGCTGATCTTTTTGGGGGGGGCATAGGAAGAGTATAGCTATTATGCTCATGTTCTGATTCAGTGGACATCATCACCATCTGTGTTCAGGAAACTAAAGACAAGGGTAAGCTAGAAACTGGGTTATAGCAGCAGTCCCTCAAATTAAACCAATAACAAGGCTATGGTACCTGTTTCGTCACTCCCAAGGATCATTTACTCAAAGGTCTACAAGATTTTCTTAAAAGCCTGATATATATTCAATGCATCCTTTCACTTCCCAATCCCTATATACGGGGCTGGTTTGCACATCATGGTGTGCCGTGATTTATAGCTTCCTGTAAAAACAACAACAGTGTGCTAGTGCTGCTCTGCTCTGCTAGGAGCAATAAGCCTTGGCTTAGCATTGAGTGTGAGAACCAGGGCTTAGTATATGTTTCTCTCCAATATTCCAATAAATGGAAGCCAAGGTTTGTTCTTGGCTTGCCGCTTGTTAGTTTGGGAGAAGCAAACCGTGAGCACTGGTTCACATGTAATGCTAAGCCAGATAAGGACTCATTTTTCATCCTGGGAGATAATTGTGTGTGGAAATGAGCAAAGGGCAACATAATTAATTTTTACTTTGCTTAGGTATATTGATTAGTTTGGTTAACCAATCTACTGAGCAGTCTCTTGTACATAAATCAGAGTAGCTCCAGGTGATCTAAATTAAGTCATTAACATTTTTTAAAAGGCACCT